TCATTGTGTAATAAACCCTTGTGGAAACACATATAATTCCAAAGGGCTTAAAATCTATGGAGTATCAATTATTATCGTTTATTTCATATTATTATTATTGTTATTATTATTATTATTATTATTATTATATTTATTATTATTATTATTCCGTATAACAATGAATAAGCTGCGAAACCACCAAATGAGAGGTTGGTTCAGTTAAAAATCCAATGGAACCCCAAATTCCAACTTGAAACAAAAAGGGACACCATTCATCACGTTTGTAATAAAAAAAAATCTATGTTCACCAAGAATCACCAATCAAAGATTATCATTAAGAACAAGTAGCAGATGTAGCAAATCAAATTTCTGAAATGATACTGGTTCGATAAAAAAATGGAAAAGAGTAGCTCATCAATAAATCACACTGTTTTCCCAAAGTCCGGATAGATGGTCGTGACACGTACGACGGTCAAATATTATGAGAAAAAATTGGTATCTCTTTGCAATGGATTATTTATCAAAATACAACCCCGCCAGGATGAAAGCCATCCGCAACACAAGGTTCAGGTCACCCACCCATTTTGCCCTTTCAGATACAGAGCCAACGTTAACGCAATGGGGTTGGTTATCCCTCCAGCTCGAGCTTAGAGGTTAACCACGCACAAACGTCATCCATCTCTTGTGTGATAGTGTGATGGCCAAGGCTGTCCACCAAAGAAAGCTTAGTAGATGTCCATCTAAATTTATGAGATTTGAATCAACACATGGAAAAATTCACACCAATACTCCCAGAGTTGCACGAGTTTACATAAATACTCTGAGATTTTGTTAAATGACACTAATGCTCCCAAAATTTTCCTATACTCACAACGTTGCTCCGAGAATTGATTTTTGTTTACTTCTATGCTCCAAATGTTGGGGGACTGATGTAAACACATATCAATTCTCGGAGCACCGATGTGAATATAGGAAAATTTTGGGTGCATTGATGTCATTTATTGAATCTCGGAGTACTTATGTAAACTCGTGCAATTCTGGGAGCATTGGTGTGAATTTTTCCTAAACACAATCACAAACGTGTAAAGAGCACATACTCTTTGTATGGTTTGAATGTGACATCTCGAAACCCGGATGAACTCAACTTGACAGATGACTTCTCCCCAAATTTGTAAGCCACTACTTCATCTCCTGCATTGAATTGCATGAAAAAAAGTTACACTTACACAGTTACACCTAGTATAGCTTAATTCCATTTATATGTCAGGGATTTGATTCAATTATTATTAGGATCTCAAACCACATCCCATAGATGTTAACCTTCACCATGACATAGCAGGACTGGAAGTGAAGCAGCACGCCGTGCAGCCTCTTCTATCCCTGCTAATTTGTTGCTTAGTGTCCTGCCAGATAACAGCAGTCAATATAGCATAACGTGCAAAATAAAGATATAGTGCTTGTAGAAGAGACATAAGGGAAAGGTTCAAACTTTGCACATGGAAGCCAGCCACTTAATCCAACAACCGCATTTAAGTTGGAAGGGAACGGGTTCCCGTTCCCATATTTCCCATGGGTGTAACATGTTGCAGCATAAAGGGATGTTGCAGCGCCCATGCTAAAGCCTCCGACACCAAGTTTGACTGCAAATGCCAAAAAAGGATTTACTAAATGCAAATGAGGAGATGCAATGTTGGCCTCCCAAAAAGTAGTATCTCTTCTTGGAAGAGTTCAAAATGCACACATTACAAAATTTGGAGAACAGACTGTAGTCTAACTGCTTCTAAAAGTCAAATGGGTAATTGCATAGATGGCAACATATGCTTACACTTTGAGAAATACTGTTTTTAACCAAATAGGCATTAATCCAGGAAACATACTAGAATCGTTAATCGTACAATGAATCAGAGGTAATAGTCACAACACAACTAAAAAAAACTTTGGTAGAGTGATTCATTTTCAAAGAATTGCAAAACGTAAAAACTCACTATCAGAAGGCTCTGTTGCCAACAAGCTTGCCACATATGATGCTGAAGTATCCAGGCCCTCTATATCATCAATTGCGTCTTCGGAAAGTTCATTCACATCAAACCCTGATTCAACCACAATAAGCATATTTTGATTGCATCGTCAGGTTAGATGGTACTACCTCCATCCCTAAATAAACTTCATTTTTCCTTTTTGACGTCTCCAATGTTCAACTTTGACCACAATTATCATTTTTTATATATTACTAAAAATTATGAAAAATAATATTTAGAAAATATAAATCCATACAAATTTGTCAAGTTTACTTTCATAACATGAAATATTGAAAGTTAAATTTTACAAATTTTGAATTCAAAAAGAAAATGTGAAGTTTATTAAAGGGACGAAGGGAGTTGCAGCTCTCAGTTGCATAGTTTTCCTTCTCCTAACATTTTTAAGACAGTAAAATACAGGTTATACAGCTACATCATAATTTTCTGAAATAGCTGATCTTAATGAAAAGTAACAAGTTACAAGCATTTGAAGGGAAGCCTCCAAATAAAGATATTGGCAGCACAGGGGCCGTTGGACAGATCCATTTAATCTGCATAACAATATTGGAATGAAAACAAAATTAGACTGTTGAAGTTTCAATCTAGAGTGAAATGCATCAATAATGAAAACCAACTATTTTTTAACCATACAACAAAGGTAAATGTGAGTACATAAATGGAACTGATCCCTAGTCCTTACATTTCGAAGAGGGAGGGTCTCTAAAAGACTGGACCAGCTGCCAAAAAATGAAAATCAATGCAAAATATGTGATTAAGTCTGCATTCAAATTCAAGTTTGGGCAGTTTGTGTGGATGATGAGCACATTCAAAACAGGCAAACAGTTAACTGACAACTTCATAGCTGGGAAAAATTACATATAGAATTTGACATAATTTGGGGTGCCCTCTTCACTTAGTGTTAGATTTAATCGGGTTTGTTCACATATAACTGAATGTCTGAATGGGTAATGGGTCAATGTTCGGGTCAGTTAGTATGGTGTCGTTTAGTGTGTTTTACATATTTAATAAATTTAAAAAAAACAGTTCGTTTGTAAAAGTTGTCAGTTTGTTCTCTATTTATATTCAAGAACACAGAATCCTGTATAAGTTCACAACAATAAAATATTATTATATTTTGCTTTGATCGGGCTCTGTCTAACACAGTAACACTTAGATGAAGAAGATGAAATTGAATTTTATTTGTATAACTTACAGAAGTACCATTAAAATTTACAAGACTTCAAGCATGGTAAGATGCATTCGGTATCCTTTGAAAACAAGATAAAAAAAGGCTCACTCAAGATAAGGCAAAGTCATAAGAGGGATATACACAGAAGGTAAAAGAATATTTCATTGGCACCCACTTAAAGCAAAGGAATTGACGTACCTAGAACCGTTGTCTCCAAGACCATGCAGCCAAACTACAGTGGCCTGGTGTTTACCTTTGGGTTTCACCACATAAGTCTTCCCAAAGTTGAATGACCTTCCAACAGTTCGACCGGCTGCAAGGAATTTTAAGGTATGATCCACTAATTTACGATTTATGAATGAATAAAGTGTAAAGAATAAAGATATGAAGTTGTCAAAGTCAGTTCAATGTCAGTTCCTTTGATTAGTAAATCTCCTTATGTGCAGATCTATCAATTGAAACCAATTGATAAATTGACATCCTCATAAGATTAATGACAAAAAATGTTTTTCCAGTATTCAACATAAAAGACCATAAGATGGAAACATAGAAAGTTTTTTAATGATACATTAACCTCACGCGCAAGGAGGCTGCAGAGCTTGCACGAGAAATGCAGAGAAGGAGGCTTGTCAGAATTTGGAAAGTGTTTAATTATTTTCCTAAACATGTCTTTCATTAATGTTTTCCTTCCATTGCCAATGGAGCTAAAAGAATCATTATTGATAATGTGTAAGTCTCTTGTTATATATACTCTATTCGAGCCCCCATTTAGTTGTGAATACACAAGTTTGGAAATAATTAAAAAGGTAGTTGGGGTCCTAATAAAAAACCCTACTATCCAGATCTTGTTTATTGCTTCATTGCTTGTGTTCTTGCTTCCACTATTTTCAGCCACGCATATTCATCACCATAGGTCTACCTCCTAAATCAGAGGATCAAACAGCACCATCGGACTATAACGAGAAGTTCAAGTTACACCCAAGAACGTGCATCTTGATTCTGTTTCTATTCATCATGGGCGATCTGAAAGCAATGCAAGCCATGCAGCAGCAGTTGGAGGCCATGGTTGAAAGCCTAAAAGGTAAACCACCTCAGTTTGGCAACCCTGAAGCAACGTTTGATGCCATCATGGAAAAACTGGACTTGTTTCGCTCCTCTACATAGCCCTTCCTACAAACAACAGCCACTCCTACTCAGGCGACGGACTGCATACTTCCAAGCAGGAGCTCGCAAAATTTGATTTCTCCTGTAACAAGACCATACTTTGCTACACAAAAATCTGCACACGTCCGGAGAGGGGCAGTTAGGGGTACACCACTACGTACCGACATGTCAGACCTCACCTAGACTACTTTTGCTTCATACTATTGGTTACATTTTGGGCCACTGGCTAGAGAATACCCGGTGGGGAAACTCGGTGATTTGAAGTAGCGGGTCGTGCCCTAGACAAATATGACCGGGAATTTCAAAAACTCTTGACAAATGCAAAAAACTTATTTCTCTTACCCCATGCGACAAGGGCAGTGTGGATGACAACCCTGCTTCAAGGAATCAAGGATGAAACCAAACCTACCGAGGCCTTGCATATGTCTTGCCGGTGATGTGAACTTTAAAAGCAGTTGGCTTTAATCTTGAAAATTAAGACAATATAACTAAGACAAAGTCAACTGGTCAAAGTACATTTCACGTGGAAGCTTTGCATATCCACGTTCCGAAATGAGAAAGAGGGCAAAAATAAAGATGAATGAGGAGGAGACCAAGGCATTACATCCCATGTGCCTCCACTAGTCCACTATTTACCAGGAAGGACTTGCTCATCAAAGAAATGATGAAGCTTCGGATTCATGTTGATACTCATTTCATCATGTTTAAAAAAATGTATATAAGGTGCAAGTGTGCAACAACTTTACACCTTAATAATTAATACTCCACGACAATTTGGGATTCCAACCGACGGGTCCAGCGCCACTGCCCTCAATCCAAGAGCACTACATTGATGATGATGATGCTCAAGTCCCACATTCCCGCCTTGGCTCTCTTTCTAAATCTTTTCTTATAACTATTGCTGAATTAATGCAAGTGCTTCTGCGTTCTTATAGATTTATGTTTTGTTATGAGTTTGACTTTTCATTATGATGTAAGATATTGATTGTGTTCATTACTCGGACTATTTTTTATGCATGAGCTTCTCATTTCCTTACCACACCTTGCTTCATATATTGTTGTTTTCTTTTGAAAACGCTAGGAGGGAAGTTATTGTGAGTATATGCATGCCTTAATTCTTGTTAAAAAAAATAGCACTTAGAGTCTGTTTGGAAAAGGAGAAAATGACCTGTGGAAAATGAGTTACTTTCCAGAAATCATTAAAGATTTGGCATGTTTGGCTTCGTTGAAGAAAAACAAAAAAAAGCTCACATGTGCTTTGTGTCTGGGACCTTCAGGAAGAACAGTGAAATCCGTGATGGAGGAGCGGCGATGGAGACAGGGAGATAGGGGAGGGGTGATGGAGGAGGGGTGATGGAGAAAGGGAGACAGAGGAGAGACAATGGAAAAGGGGAGACGGATGAGGGCAATGGAGAAATGAGAAGCCGTGATGCCGGTGATGGAGAAGGGAAAAGCCACAGTGAAGAATGAGCAATGCAGGTCGCAGCTCCGCAGAAAATGTCTTCTGAATCTTAAAACTGGAAGACATTACGAGGCTTATTTTTTCATTGATGGATGGCTGAGTGACTGACTCCCATTTTCCCGATTTACCAAACTCTTCATTGGACATTGAGTTCTTGACAAGTGTAAAGTATGATCCACAATAAAGAGTTGCAGGGCCAAGTGGTATGCATTATCCATTGAATGCCCTCTGATGTGGAGTTACCCCTGGAACATTATATGTCCTCGTGCTTCCCTTATATATGAATATATCTAACCTACAATGTCTCCTACAAACTAAAATAACTAGCAAAAAAACCTATTGAAAGTTTCCTTTCATTCGCCAGACAATTTTTCAATGCTTTTGACAGATGTTGAGAAGCACAAGACACAAAAGACATTAAAAAATGGATCATCACTCTTAGACTAGTAAAGTACCATAGAGCTATGGACATGTACAGTGAGATTATTCAAAAGTTTTCTAAACAATCAGGCCCTTTATCACAGCATATACTTTAGGGAGGACCTAACAAAAAATCATAGCAGAATGATTCTTTACTAAATGTAGCAAGCCAAAAAAAATAGGGAGTACACATTAAAATAACAACGCTCTTAAAAAAACTAACCAGAAGGGGCAGCAACGCTCATATTCCTCCAATGAAATAGAGATACGGATGCTAGAATTATAGAATATTTCACCTGAAGAAAAACGAAATAGTATTTAGCTCAAGAAATGCATCCAAAATCACTGATTAAAATTGGGATACAGTCATTGGCATAGATAAACTCCTTTTACACCGTTACACCGTGTCAATCAACAGTCTCTCAAACGATGTACACTTGCACAAAGTGGGGATAACACCACAGCTACTTATTCCTCCCATTCTCTATGAATAAATCTTTCAACCTTCCTAAAATCATCTTTCAAAACCTTTTAAAGAAAGCATTGCGTAGTTCATACTGTGTATCTATCATTCTATCCTCTTGATGTATGTCAGCTACGCACTTTTCATTTTTAAATCCTTATGCGGTCAAAGTGTGAGTATTAGAAAAATCATTGACTCAGTACCAAACCAGCAACTTATGATGGAGATTTCTTTGTACAGGCAAAAAGGAAAATTCCATGAACATATCCAGTGCCCAAATTTAGCCTATAAAGACTTCTGAAAAGAGTATTCCACTAGATAAATATGTCTCAAGAGTTTCCTTACTCAGATAATCATGCAGGAGAAAGTTCATATTCTTTACGTTTATCCGCAAAAGACCCAAAAATTGTGGATCATTACAAACATGAACACCAAACCCCAGATAGCCAGAACAATTCATTTTCCAAGTTACGATATGCCTCGAGCAAACTGAAGATCATATTATCAATGAAGGAGAAACAGAAGAAGGCAATTGAATGTGTTTACAAAGCAGGTGATATTTACAATTAAGATCTTTTTTTCATCTGCTGGGTATCGTCTATGGTTACCTTGAATCTTTAAGGGGTTTGGATTCCTAACTCTTGCAGAGTCTTGCTCCCTGGTGCGTAGAGAGTATCGCCCTCGGTCCGTTCAGTTTATATACCGATTCCGATTTCCAAAGGATAGCATCGTTCTAAGATTCATTTGTGGTAAGGTTAGAACTTAGAAGCGCTGCTCGCCATTGATTTGATGGAGAATATACGAAACGATAAGTTTTTTGTTTTTAAAACATGAGGTAGGGAAAAAAGGAAACGACAACCATAGTTCTAAAAACGGGAACGCGTACGGAACCCATTAAAATATTACTCCCTACTCTACTTGTTTACTGGTCGAACCAGTGATTTAAACACATACACACACATATATATATCTGTGTGTGTAGGTGCATGAAAAATTATATGGAGTATATAACTAATACGGAGTAAAAATTATACTCTCTCATTTATAAATACTCAGAGTAACCAATTTATGACGTTTGGCCAAAATTAAATTAATTTTCTTGAGTTATGTTCTTAATTTAAAAAATAAAGTGTTTTATATGTAAAAAAAAATATTAAAAATTTTATAAAAGAAGAGTTGATTTTTTCAAATAAGTTGTTCAATATTTAAAAAATACTCATATCAAATATTTACTTGATATATATTTTGTAATAGTATCAGTTATATCAATGATTTTGAATTTGAATAATAGATGTAACATTATAATTTTTAAAGTTTTAAAAAAATAAAAAGAAATATTTTTAGACTTATTATTTTTTTAGTTCTAGATTATAAAGAAACTATAAGCAAGTATGTAACAAAAGGTGTTCTAGCTCGTTGGTTAACGACTTAACCAAATACCTAGAAGATTGGGTGCTCGTTGGACTGATTCATTCCCGTTCGAACTGATTTGAAGCGGATTGCGGTCCTATAAACTGGATCGGACCGATTAGACCACCGGTTCACCAGTTCACGGTCTAAACTGACCGGTCCGGTTCAATGTTTAAAACTATGACCACAACATATACTCCTTCCCTTCTCGAATTATCTTTTAGATTTGACTTAGCGCGTTTTCTAATAAGGTAAAATGTAAGTGATTCTAGTTTGTGTAGAAGAAAGAGAATTGAGTCCTTAAAAGGAAAGATAAAGAAAATTTTAGAATAATCTAAATAAAAATAAGGAAGATAATTATGGAACAGAAGGAGTACTTGTTTTGTTCCTTTGTAATTGATTCAATAAAACTTAAAAATAATTGAAAGAGAAAGAAAGTAGAAAAAGTTTAAAAAGTGTTGGAAAAAACATTTACCCCCTTTTGTCCCATATTTTTCTTTTACTTTTGACTTTGGTGATTAATTGTTCTAAATTTTAACCATAAATTATAGAAAATATACTTAATTGTGATATAAATTTAATATCAATTGATATTAGATGGGAAATGATACGTGGCTCAGTCCATATTTCCCAATTATTTATAAAGGACAATCAAGTCGGGCTTGTCAGTAAAATGGAAGAATAGATGCTCCTCCGTCATCCCTATAAAAAGAAGGGTTTGCCTTCAACTTAGAAGCGACCTCTCCCTACACTATCCCCTGGAGCTTAAAAGCTCTCTGTTAATGGCTTTCGAGCTCAAACTATATATCGTGTACACCTCCGATATTAATAAAAATACCCCATTAGTAAGGTACTACCAAAAAAGGCTCGTGATTTTCTAGCGATTAGATTTCCATGTTAAAATCCGCGTATTTGTATTTTGGTGAATTTTGTCAAACTAGTTTATCGTTCTTTCCTAGCTAAGAACGATACTTCGGTCGAGATAATTTACACCATCATTTTAGCACTGACTATGAGACCCGAACAAAAAGTTGTGTTTTTTTGTTCAGCCTTTTTCCGTGGCCTCAAGATCAAGTCAGCGAAAACCGAGAGAGAGAGAGAGAGAGAGAGTGAGTGACAGGGTTAGTTTCAAGAGGCAAACGTAAGAAACTAGAAGAGGGAGAAATTGCCAAATCACTGCCTTGGGAACACAAAACATGTACTCTGATTTTTTAGTTTTACAAAAAAGGTAAAGAAAGAAAATAAGCATAACAGTTGAAGCCGACTATAGTTNCCTTCCCCGCATCTACTGGGTCCACATTTCCTCTGATTGCCGGAGTCCACTGTCGTCGTTGCTCAGACCCACTGCTGCGCAACCTTCTCTCACAACTTGCATATATCACTAAAGTTGTCATAGTCCAACACCACCGCCGGAGCTAAGACACCATTGCCCTTTTGATTGGTTTTGCATCTATTTGGGCCAAACTCAATCCAGATCCAGCACTACAGAAATTTGCCCCCACCGGAGATGGAGTTGCAACCGCATGGTATGGGCCACCAATGCATAGGAAGAGAAAGAGGAAGTAAATCGAGGCCGGAGAAGTCTACATAGTGCCTCCCAAGACTACCACCACCCCCACCTAGGATTGCCGCCGCTAAAGCCTGATGTTGCAGCGTTGGTCTTGAGATATTTCATCCTTCCCGTTGTAGCTAAATTGTATTTCTACCATTGCTAATGTCATAATCTACGGCAGCCGAGAGAGGCTACTGATCGTTCCCAGAGGGAGTGAAGGTTTACCAACACCATATTCACTGTCATATCTATCATTAAAGTCGCCCATCGCATCACCACTACTCCTTCTAGAATTACTGCCCTTATCCTTCTCGGGGTCTGTCGGTGCATTTTTCTAATCTGCCACTTCACCGCCACTGAAATCTCCATTGCCACCTGCTACCGCTGCTAAAATATCAATCGTTGTTGCTTTTAAAGTCAAAGTTGAAATTAGTCAAAGAGCTCCAACTGTTATTAAGATGAATCATTGCCACCGTCGTCATCGCCAAAAGTTGGATTTCTTCATTTTCCGATTAACGGTGGATGTCGCTGCTGGCTGAGCTCGCTTGCGCCAGGGATCAAACTTGCCGCTACTAAAATCCTTCTCATTTTCTCCAGCGAAACCGCCATTACCACTTCAAAAATCGGCCTTTGCCCCCGAAACTAAATTCCTCATCCACTGCCTCACTTTGGATTCCAGCTTGTCAATCTCACATCCAAAAAGAACGAGACGAGGGAGGGAAAGATGCATGTGGTATGGCATATTCTTCACTCTTTTTGATAAAGTGGGAACTGTGGGATTTATTATTGATGTGGAAATGATAAGTACATTTTGTACTTATTATTTTACTCATATTTAAATATTTTTGTGTGTAAATGAATTTAATTAAAATAAAAATATTCATTTTCTTTCGTAAATATCTCAAAGTTGTCATTTTGTTTATAAAAACGGTGTTCAAAACAAATTTGAAATTTTCAAACAAAAACTGGTTCAGACGGAGTAAAAACTTTAAAGAAATAAAAGTTTTGAGATGTTTGTTTAAACTCAAATTCGTCCGTAGCTCCAGAAGAGAAAAATGTTTGGCACAAAATATAAAACTTGCCACAGAAATTCAAAGCCAAAATCCCTAGGTTGGGCCGGGCGACTGCCCTGGACCCAGCTCCGGGATTCAAATGCAAGATAAGGCAAGTAGCGACACGTTTTGCAGGGATATTTAATATCGACTGCGGGGCGACTGCCCCGGGCCCAGCCTCGAGATTCAACGCGTAAATATCAGCAATTGTCATCAACTTGCGAAGGAATATTCGGATATTCCTTCCCGGGCGACATGCCGGGGGGCCGCCCCGCCCCAGAGATTCCTATTCCTATATAAGGTAGCGTCATCCAATCTTCTTCAATCATCAAATTCAATTTCGTTTTTCCTCTCTCAAGTGGCGATTTAAGCCCCCATTGTCGTAGTTTTAGTTTATTTCGGAATTTCAGTTCCAGATTTGTTCTTATTCCGCTTCTCTGGAAGTTGTAAGTTTCTTTAATAATTAATATAAACATGTTTTGTTATTTAATTTATGCACTTTTTATTATCAATATGTCTTTTTAAAAATATTAGGGATGTGAATTGAAATTAGGGTAGTAGAAATGTAGGAAAAATAATTATGTTGGAATATTAAATTTAATTAATTAAAATGTTATGTTGCTAGTAACTGTTATATGATCTAATTATTTAATCTGGCCAATTTATTAGTTAATCTTTGAAAAATTATTATGTCCATTTGTCTATAAATGAGAAAAATAATTTAGTCAATCAATTCTAGCACATTAATAATGCCTAGAGATAGGATAAAATTAATAGAGTTATTGTGACAGAATTACTCACTAGCTAAATTAATTAGTTAATTTAATAATCCAACTAGTTAAAACATCTGAAAAATTCTTACTACCTGAAGTCAATTCATATTCCCTTTTTGTCAAACAATCATTTTATTATTTTGTCCAACTCATTTTCAAATCCAAACTACAAATACCTTTTGAATTTAGAAGGCTTCCAACACGAATGTGTAAAACTTTGCATGACTATATTTTTAATAGAAAAATTGATTTTACGCCAATCCACGTGAATAAGACGCGGGAATAAATGAAACTCTTTTAGAGTAAAATTTACTACCGCTAAAACTCTTTTTTTCAGGAAATTAAAGTGAAGATTGAAGGGAAATTTATACCATTGCATTTGAAGCATATGAGTAATAGTGAGATCCACTGCTATCATTCATGAAAGGGAGTGGAGCATTTTATGTCTGAGGTGGCCCACTTATGATATATTTCATGGTCTTCACAGTGAAATTCCAAGTGATTGAGATGAAGATAATGCACCAAGGCATTACTTTCATTTCAAAACCAAACAATGCCCCGACATTTGAAACAAGTGGTCATGGTGTTTTGGCCAACTGTAGACAAAACTCGGGACACTGAGACACACACTCGGTCATGCACGCTGGTTACTACACTGCTCTTGTATTAAAAAAGGAAGCCTGAGACGCATGCCATGTCTAGCACGCTGGTTACTACACCGGTCTTGCTCAGTATAATAAAAATAAAATAAAATATGTGACACAGACCCTGGAATGTTGGTAAAAATCGTTCTTGTTCAACTCCAGACCAAAAATGATACACACTGGTCTTGCACGTATTTTCCCGGAAGTCTGGAACCAATCGAATTGGGTACACTAGTGTTTCAGCCGAGCTCTTATCGGGGATGCCCGATTCATTAAGTATTTTATACGAGGCACTCTAAAAATGACTTTGCATGATACGAAGGTACTTGTGCCAGTTAGCCGGGCTAACATGGATCCTCGATAAAGCTGTCGCAGTATACTTAATTCGTATTAACTAATATCTC